AGCAGAGCGTTCCAACAGGGCCTTTGTCCTTGTATGTGGTTTGATATGGAAGCATTTTCTGAATGAAGCATTGTCGAAAGGCCAACATCACCAATCTTGCTCACGAAGTTGCGATCGAGCAATATGTTTGCTGGTTTTAGATCACGATGGATGATTGGTTCTGGCTTTGAGTTATGAAGAAAGACCATGGCTGAGGCTACTTCCCAAGCAATTCGATATCTCTCAAACCATGGGATTGGAGGTGTATTATTTTTTTGGAGCAGCCTCTCTTCCAAGTTACCATTCTCCATGTACTCATAAACTAGGCAACCATGATCAGAACATGCACCAAGCAGAATTAGCAAATGCGGATGATGAATTTTGCTCAAGACTTCAAGCTGCAAGCCAGTAAACAGCATATATAAGTTATTGAAAAACGAACTGCTTCAGCTAAATGGTTGTGCAACAGTAAATAGAGAAAATTCTAAGAGCACTTAATTACTTTAAATAAATCACACTATATCCTTCTAAAAATAGTTATGATTTTCAGAGTTTCTAGTTATTCAGAGAGCTTTCATACCTCCTGCTGAAATTGCTTGGTCCTGTGAGCCTCTTTAGAGTGGAGGACCTTTACTGCAGCAGTTGTATGATGAAAACTGCACTTATAGACAGTCCCATATGCTCCCATTCCAATCCTAAGATTCTCGGAAAATGATGAGGTAGCAGACACGATCTCTTCCCATGTAAACTTCTTGTACTGCTGCACTGGGCCTACAATGGCATTCTCAAGCTTATCTTTCTCTTTGGCCTCATGTGAGGCCTTAGCTTCTGCTTCTTTCCTTTGTGCAGCTTCTCTTTCAGCACATTCCTTAACATACTTGGCTTCTCTTTTCACCGATTCATATCCATCCTTCTCTTGTTGACCTAATTCTTTCGCTTCCTCCTCCTTGAGGTTCAACTCCTTGAGCTTAATTGACTCCTCCAGTCGGCACTTTTCAAGATCATTTAGCTGACAAAGAGAAAAAAACGTGGAGTGTTGTTCTTTACAAGATGGGGCATGAATCAAAACATAAATTTGGTAAATAAAATAACGCAAACCTTAAATGTGTAACTAGCAATATATCAACTTTTGCTCACTTAATTTTATTATAGGGATCATCAAAATTTTCAAAGATGATCCATATATCTGGTTAATTCAAATCTCTGTAACAATGCACTTTTCCGTCATGGTCCACTATAGTAGCAGTCAATCCCTCTAATGTTCAAGAGCAAAATATTTTGTGCTGTTATATAGCCAGGAACTGCTAAATTTTGTGAATAGGTGCAATTTTTGCCAAACATGACTCCTCACATCCAAAAATATTAGGAACACTAAGCGATCCCAAGTCACCTGAAGTCAAAAAAATACTTTAAATTGTGCCTTGATGTTTTATGAAGAGATCAGAAGGCCTCGATGTTGCAAATTTTGCCAAGATTTTCAGTAATAATTTTAACTTAAGAATAAAATCAAAAAAATTTGGTGACAGAAAAGTGCATGTATAAATAGGACAAACCAAGTCCGGTAATCAAGTTAAGAATTGAATTAAGTCCTTTTCATGCTTATTTAGGCAAAGAAATAAATTTTACCTTTCTAGAAGCATCAATTGTCTCACTTTGAGCTATTGCATACATTCCTCGAGCATGTCTCAGTTCAATTCTTAGTTTTTCGAGCTCAAAATTGATATTGTCCTGCAAAATATAATAAACCTTTTAAGATTACGGTACTATGCCTTGGACTCATCCTGATGGCCACATTTTTAAACTTACAAATATCAAGAAGACGAAGCCTTCATATTAACGATATGGTTGTTAGTTCAAGTCACTTGGGTCAAGCCACTATATTTCAATAAAAAGTAATATTTTTTTTGAAACCCATAGCAACATTAAACATTGATATAGAAAGGAATTTCCAAAAGCACACCGATCTTTTTTGTGTCCTCAAGGATAAGGATATTTCACAAAAAGAATAAGGTTATTCTATTTTATCTTCATATATATATATATATATATATATAGACACACACACACACACACACACACACACATGTATGCATTTTCTTTGGGGGAGTGGCGGCAGGGGTGGTTAAGAAACAAATGTACTGCTTGTTTTATTTAATGATGTTTTGGCAGTGAATTTGTATGGAACAGCATAGAAGCTTTTGCACTAACTAATAGACGTTAGCTAATTTCTACTAGTGAATATAGACAGCAGTAAGTAAGTGGTCTGGCTCCTTACTAATCCCCCAAATATGCAAGTTATGCAGGAAACTTTAGCTCGAGTCCAACGTTATAAGGAACTATTAAATGTTTGAACTTTTCTTTGAATCAATATAAATCAGAGGGATTCTGCCAATCTTTCCCACCCAAAACTGATCCTGGTAACAAAGTTAAAGCATTTATGGGGGTCAAACTGATTAAAAAACTAACAAAATTAAACATAATGCAAAACATTGCCTGGTTTTCAGAGGAAAAATCTGAGGGAACAGCTGAGGTAGATGCTTGATCAGATATCCTGGACGGGTGGTCTCTTATCTGGCATCTGAAACTAGAAGCCCGAGTATTTGTAAAGCCTGCATCTGAATTACTTGGACAAGAACTCACAGCGGCAATGCTCTCCCATTCCACAGTATCCAGAGACAGGCTTCTAGAATGATTGGCATCGTTTGAAATTGTTCTTCTATGAGAAAGGGTATTATTAATGATTGAAAGTGATTGAAACCGCTGAATCGGTAGTGATGTAGAGGAAAAAAGAGAATAAGAAGCAGCTGAGCTTGGGCCTGTCCACTCTGACAAAAGAAAGAAAAATTGTATCATCAACTTCTATTAGCTTATAGGCTAATGACATCTCCTGAATAAAGTTACAGACTGGAACCTATAAGAAATACTTACAAACCATGTTAAGGTACTAAGATCCAGTCTTATCATTTCTCTCTGTGTTGCCGGGAAACATATTCTTAGAGTACTCATCAAATAAAAATCTTGGCAAAGCACAGAGCGAAGATTGTTAACAATAAATATCCAAGAATCACAGATTATAAAGGAACTCTCACTAAGCTGGAGGCACCTTTGGCATGTAGTTAATTGAAAATTGTAAGTTCCGCGTTGGTCACAGTACAACACAAACTTGGTGAAATGGTTCATGCATAATTGTTGGCAGGGGGAACAAGATCAAGTTGGTAAGGATTAAAATATTGCATCATCTCATTTCTGTTATCTATTTTGGGTTGGAAAATATGATGAGGCATGCTATACTAAAAATGGAACATATTTCTAGTTTATCAGACATGTCATACATTAGGATCACACATGTGGCACATCCTTGAGAAGGAAGTAATACTAGGAAAAATTGTAATTGACAACACCATGTCCAGCGCTCTTCAGGACTTACTAAATTCGACCTGTGTCTGCATATCCACAGTCCAGCAGTCAACAGACGCCTAAATCATGCATGGCAAAGCCCATGTGCCTTGATTGCAAAACTATCTCTAAAAGCACATGAACATGATGTGTAACATAATTTCTGTCAATCAGAATCGGGTAATGTTACAGACTTAGATGGCAGGATTACGAGCATCTTGCTTTGCCAGCAATAGTTGGTGAACGGGCAGTCACTGTCTGATGCAAATTTTAGCTTATACTGTTTGCTTATACATATTGTGGATGCTAAAAAGCCAATTAGAGCACAACCATTCATCCGAAAACATTAGAAGTCCATAAACATGTATATTTACCTGTTTGTGAAGTGGAAGTGCAATTTATAGGATTGCTGGTAGAAGAACTTGTGTCACTACTGTCATCTTTAATGCTTCCAGTTATCTCTGAATCAGATGGACGCACGGATGACAATTTGCCCTTTGAAATAGCATACACCGTACAAAAGCTTGGAGTGCACTCGGATATTCTTGAGGACAAACTTTGTCCCCTAAGTTTCCAACAAACATTACTTTGTTAACAATATTGGTAATGACGTCAACCAGGAAATAGTGAAGGCAGCATACAAAATTGAAAACAATCAGGCTTTGAATTTCACACTCAAAATCGGGAGAGATTAATTGAACAAAAGGGATTAGGCAGATAAAGTTCATTAACTAAGGGTCAACAAAAGCATCACAAAGAAGCATGGTACGTTAATACCTTGAAAACAATCTCCGGGATGAAGTTCCTATAACAAGCTTGGTAATATTACATTTGGCAACCTCACTCGCTATCGCATCTATGACATCATCTGATTCAATTTGTACAACTTCTACTTGCACCTGCAATCAGAATCCTGTATAATAAGCCTCTTTAATTTCATTTTCTTTTTTTCCTTGAGATTCTCATAAGCCAATGAATTTCAACCTTTGTTTGAGCACACATCTTCTTGTAAGGAAGAAGCTTTTTGCTCATTTGCCATTCCACTTCTTTCTTGTAAGCAGCTACAATATCATCTCGCACTTGCGAAAGGGGAAGGGAATTTCCCACTGGAAAAAAGAATTAGTGTCAAATATCTAAAGCATAGAACAGATGTAGATATTGCTATCATTTAACACGTACCCCGCCACTACGAGGTCTAGGGAGGAATGACAAACTGCCAACAACACTTCAAATACAACACAATTCGAATCAAAAAGATAAGAAAGATAGTTACTAACAAAACTAGGCAAATTAAACGCCATCTCTTAGCAGAAGCTTAAGAACTCCATTTTATCATACATGTCGTAGAATAGATCTACTCTACCCTGAAAGAAAAATCCGAAGAGAACACAACTTACTTGGCGTTGGAACCTTAGTTATCTTAGGGCGGACATGTAGCAACTTGAACATAAGCTTCCCCTCGGGAACAAATTTGTCTAATGCCCACTTAACTATATATTTACTCTTTCTATTTCCAGTAATAGCAATTGCAACAGTCAAAGATGGAGGGGGAGGCAATGCATATAGGCCTTCAATTATTTCTCTCTCCTCCATTGCCTTGGGCTTCCCTTGCCAGTGAATGCTCTGTAACATCCATAGATATGAACACAACAGTTAAACTTGCAATCGAATGAATAGTCAGAATTAACAGGAGAGATGAAGCAAAGAAATTCATTTTTCTGTAACAAAAAAAAAAAACTCCAAATTAAACACCTTCAAAGAAACAGAAAATACCCAGAAAAACTTCCCTTTTCAAATTGTTCTTACAAAAGTGAAGGGGAATGGGGGAAAAAAAAAAAGGAATAATAGGACCTCTGTCCATGAGAGAGAGAGAAGCACCCAAAAAGATATCGCTACAGAAACTTCAAAGAAAAGCTGAAAACAGAATAGAGACAGAAACCTTACCAGCTCTTGAGAATTAAAAATTCCATTATTTGAATTGTCTTAAACCCATCTGAGCAGGGTACAAGAAGAAGCCATGTGATCCCTCTGATCTTTTAATAAAATATCTAAAAACATCCGAACAACGTTGGCATTTAATATCTCTAGATCATTAGCTGAAGTTTAAACCATTCGCAGAAGAAGATGATTTAAAAATGCAACTACCACCCAACATTCCGTACACTTCACGCCTCTACATTCGTTCCGCAGTTACATGGTTACATATATTTCTCTCTCTCTCTCCCTGCTTATTCATGAATTGATTGGTCTGGTTATGTTGTTATCTTAACATTTTCCTAACTCGTCATTCGTTTTGTTAAAAGTCGGCCAGTCTGCCCATCGATTTGTTTAATTCATGTTAACGATATTAATTATCATTTCGTTATTTTTTAAAAAAGGTAGGCGATCGGAGAGTATACAAAGACCATCCTTCTATTTTTTTTGGAACAAACTTGATTAGACTAATATATCGTCAAATTATTGAATCCAAATATAAAGTTTAAGACTTAAATTTCTAATTTCAGAATGAAAAATTTGATTGGTACTCCATTAGACCACCACATTCGATGGTTGTTAATTATAATTTCATTAGTAGAGAATCAATAACCAATTGCGATCTTATGTTTGTGTATATTCGGAATAATTCGTGTTGGAAGGCACAATGTAACAAAAGTGATAATGTTAGTGAGAAATTAATGAATTTAGAAAAAAAATTCAATATGAATAATTTTGAGAGGGTTATTGAGGTCATTCAATAAATTTATTTGTGACAATTAAATAGATATATTGAAATTTGTTTAATTTATATTATAAATTATAGATTAGTTTATTTTCCGTAAGATTGTTAGGTAGAGGCTCACGTGTCCTCCGAGCTATTGCACAGTCTTCAACTGTGATAAGGCATTGTTTGGATGGTCCTTATTATGCCCCAAAAATTGACATCGACACAATTTTTTATTTTTAATTATTTTTTATTATTAGCGGTAGCTCCGACCAATGAGGGATGTAAATCCCATCTATATATATATATATTTTTCCATCTTCTTTTTGCTTTCTTTTTATCAATTAAACAATTAACGAAATTAAGAGTTAATTATAAAAGATACGTTTTATTTTTTTTAATAAATCAAAGTACTAATAAATAGAGATTGACCTTAGAATGAGTATTTAAATAGATTTAGAAGGAGACCTAAAATAACTGAAATATGAGAGTTACCGTCTAGTCTAATTGGTGGTTAATTTTGATTAAGTATTGATTAAATAAATAAATCAGAACTTTATAATTTCAGAAAAGAGGGAGGGAGGGTAGCTTTATCAAGGCATCTCTCCATTAATTTATATATATACTAGTTATAACCCGTGCCTGAAGGCACGATAAAATATAAAATTCAAACGTTCAAAAAATCGATTCCATTATATTAATTATTTTTAAAAATATTAACTATAAATTAATCAAATATTAAATTATTAAATATATGATAGAAATGAGTGATGTGATGTTTTTAGGGAAGAAATATATAAATAATTAAACATATGACAGAAATAAGTGATGCGATAAGATGTTTGAGCCTGACAAAGAGATGATGGATGAGGTAAGTGATTGGTGATAGTTTTGAGAGAGAAAATATGACTGAAATAAAATTCAAACACACTCCTGTTTTATTATATAGATATATATATATGTATAGAGAGAGAGAGGGAGAGAGATTTGGCACCACTTGCTAAAGTGGTTTTTCTTATTTTTTTTATCGAATCGACTTATGTGCACATTAATTAATCTCTTTCCCGATTTGATTAAAGGTAGACTATCTCTTACTGTCTGGTTTTAAAAAATTGTCAAGATTCAAACTCATAACATTTAAATTTACAATTTATTTATGTTACCACTTGAACTATCCCTCAGAATTTACTTACTCCCTCCGTTCTTAAATATCTGTTATTTTACACAATTTTTTTTGTTCCATAATATTATCGTTTAATAAAACTAAAACATAATTAATATTTTTTCTTCCAAATTTACCTTTAACTTTTCAATGCATTAGATTAGGTGAAAGTTAAGTGTCTTTTATATTCATTTTTCTCTTAATACATATTGAATAAGGGTATTTTAGTCTTGTGTAATTAATTTTTACTCATATTAGAGTTATTTAATAGTTTCCGTAATCACTGTACAAAAACCTTAAACAAAAAATATTTAGGAACGGATGGAGCATTAAGTGGCTTTCAAATATTCAATAATTAGGCCTTTTTCGTATTTCTGTGAACTATCTTATGTGCTGAGAAAATTAGACGGTGCGAAACGGGGAGGAAGGAACATAGAATAAGACTTGGGTTTCTTGCCTTTTAAGAAGTTTGGGTCTCTTAAAAAAGTAATATTATGTGAATTTAAAAATTAAATTTGATAATTTTAACCATTAATTTTATTGTAAGTCTTAATATTTATTAGGATTCACTATTTATTCAATAATTAAATTTAATTTTTAAAACTAGTTTCTAAATATAAGTAACATTACTTCTCTTACAACAGCCGTTTTAGACTTTTAGTGTTCTACAATAAAGATAATGTTGAGTCTCCCAGTCCACAACCATTTATTTATCTTAACAACTATACATTGACTGACTCAATGACTCGTATGAACAGTAATGAAGTGAAGTTGTTGACTTTGGTGGCTCAATCTTTAAATGCATCATGTAGAAGGGTATCTTCTGTGTATCTTCTGTGAGAGAGAGAGAGAGAGAGCGAGAGAGGGCGACCAGTCCCAGGTCAAAGCCGTTTCGTATTTTGAGTACATAGCGGCACGACCAAGTAGAAAATCTTAACAGGATGTCACTATATCGGTCCTTATTCGTCGAGAAAGCCCTTCACGAGGGCATTGACGGAGGAACGATAGGCGCTGCCCAAGAACAACCTGAGTCATAGTTAGATTTCGGTCTCACCAAATCTCTAAAAAATAATTCAATAATTTATTTTTATTAAATCAAACCCGAAACATAATTCTTACAATCTTTAAACAAAACCCTTAACAAGCCTTTAAGCAACGTTGGACCAAATGACACCGATCGCTTGGGTTGGTCGAAGAATTTGGAACCTTTCTGATGTATTGTTATTCTTAACTTTGTCAATATTATATCAATCACCATTTCGATTACGGACAAGCTTGAACATAAAGGGTTCAACTTGGGTTTTATGGCTAGTAACCTACCATCGAGGGAATCGGGAAAAAAAAAAAGAAGCAAATTGTAATAGACATAGCATCATTTTCAATCATCTCTATCGGCTATTGATGGTAGGCTCCAAGTGATATGAAATTAAGGGGATCCAGAGAATTTAATATTAAAAATGAGTCAAATACATTATTTATTCATATAATTTTAAAGTAAAAGAATATCATTCGTGTTGATGTAACATCGATGTGAATGGTACAAAATTTCTAATTGAATGTCGCCTAATCGATGTTCAACTAATAGCTATAACATCACTAAATGACAACTTTTCTATATTATGGTCAAAATTTAAAAGAAGTATCAAACACGCAATCAATTAAATTTGTAAATACACTGTACAAGGTGGGCCTCTAATGACCGGAATTTTGTACTCCTCTTTAGCAAGGGACCATCACTGTCAAATGTTACACTCAAAAATTTAAAGTTTTACTTGCTATCTCTGCTAACTTGATAGAGACTTTAGGGTCACAGGGAAGTGGTAACACTTCCAAGCTTTGGCTGCCAATGAGTGACGAGGAAAGACCCTCGAGACAACTTTGAAACAGCCAACATGAACACCTTAATCATATCCAAAGAAACAAAGGATAAAAACCTTTTGGAATTGGATTTTTTTTTTCCTTACTTGAGTTTTTACATTATGATATTGGTAAAAAAGAATTAAAATTTGTCTGTTCTATCTTTATATGTTCATAAAAAAGAAAATAAAGTTTTGCATCGACAAGATTCTCGAGGTGGTGCTTGAAATCGACCTTCTTTTATTCTTGAGACTTCAGTATAATATTCGGTAACGCAATTAAAATTTGTAGTTAAAATTTATGTGTTTTTTTTGTTAAGAAAAAAGAGATAAGGACAAAAGAAAGCACTTAGAAATTACCCCGACACACTAATAGGTCCTCACTAGTGGGAGTGTTCAAATTTTTGATTGGCCGTAATTTCCTACCCTATCCGACCCTACACTATCCTACCTTACTGAATGACTAGCTGCAAAAATAGAGTAAAAATGCAAAAGAGTTTTTGGTCTTCCGATTAAATTGGGTAGGAATACAAAATGTCCATCAATTTTCGCATTCCTATCCTACCTGTAAAAAATATATTTAACTTTTTTATATTTTTTTAGTAATTATAAGAGTATTTGTGTAATATAATTTATATTATAACATTGTTATTGTTGTGGATATTTAAGTTCTGAAAATATGAACTTGTTTTTTGTGTAAATTATATGATTTGTGGTGAACTAGTGATCTATTGAAGCAGTTATGATTTTAATGTATTTCATATAATTTAAACTTACAATAATTGTTATTTTATTTGTGTAACAATTATGATGGATTGATGTTCATATTTTCTTATGTTTTATTGTAATTGTTGTTATAGTTTGTTTTAAGTTTTAGTATTATTGATTTATTGTGTTGTTAAATTAATGCATG